CAGTTCAAAAGTTTCATGTTTCTACACCTTTTTTTTGTAAGCACATCTGTTGATGGGTACATGGTTTGACAGGCAATGCCTATGGTCTCGGTGCATGCAAGTTGGTTCATTAACATTCCTTCACATTCCTTTACATTTCTTCACATTTCTTCACATTCCTTCACATTCCTTCACATTTCTTCACATTCCTTCACATTCCTTTACATTTCTTCACATTCCTTCACATTCCTTTACATTTCTTCACATTCCTTCACATTCCTTCACATTTCTTCACATTCCTTTACATTTCTTCACATTCCTTCACATTCCTTCACATTTTTTCACATTCCTTCACATTCCTTCACATTTTTTCACATTCCTTCATATTCCTTTACATTCTTCCACCCTCATGTTTGCTCATTCTTCTGTCAAGTTCAAAGTGCACCAGGTGAGATTTAAAAAAAACGATTGGAGATAAATTCAACACCTAATATTGAATTGTCCGAAGGAATGTTAAACTTACATTATATATTGCCTGTAATCCTGCCTGAACACATTCAAAGTCTACTGCCAGAGGAATTTCTCTACGGGAGCCGCAGTAGTCAAGGATAGAAACTCCACAGATTCCACGCAACTCACAGTAGTCAAGGATAGAAACTCCACAGATTCCACGCAGCTCACAGTAGTCAAAGATAGAAACTCCACAGATTCCACGCAGCTCACAGTAGTCAAGGATAGAAACTCCACAGATTCCACGCAGCTCACAGTAGTCAAGGATAGAAACTCCACAGATTCCACGCAGCTCACAGTAGTCAAGGATAGAAATTCAACAGATTCCACGTGAGATATCCAGAAGGATCATGAACGTCAGAAGGGGATCATGAATGTCAAGGTGATCGTGAATGTCAAGGTGATCGTGAATGTCAGAAGGTGACCATGAATGTCAAGGTGATCATAAATGTCAAGGTGATCGTGAATGTCAGAAGGTGACCATGAATGTCAAGGTGATTATGAATGTCAAGGGGATTATGAATGTCAAGGTTATCATTATCATGAATGTCAAGATGATCATGAATGTCAGAAGGTGACCTTGAACGTCAAATGGCGAGACAAAATGACAAACAGTGAGGTCGTGCATTGTACCAACTGGTCTGTGATTAGCAAAAGAACACTTGGTGGGCTGGCTCATGTGCGTGGGCTGGCTGACAGTCGCAGACCAAAACAAGTAGGCCTACTGATGAATTGTCCTAAAAGGTACAAGGTGTGGGAGGAGCTTGCACAAGACTGGGAGGAGAGAAGATGAACTGTCCATAAAGGTACAAGGTGTGGGAGGAGAGAAGATGAACTGTCCATAAAGGTACAAGGTGTGGGAGGAGAGAAGATGAACTGTCCATAAAGGTACAAGGTGTGGGAG